AGCCCCTTCAAATGACTTTTAAAAGCATACAGGGGCCGGAGTGATAGTACAGTGGGCAGGGCACTGGCTTTGCACAGACCGACCTGGGTTCAATCCTCAGCAACACATACAGTCCCCTGAGCCCCGCCAGCAGTAAACGGCCAGGCATGGTCTAAAAGCACAAAACCTTTAAAAATAAATAAAAGCATATATATAGCACTCTATCTCCCTAAAATATGTTCAGCCTGATCCCTACTTCCTGCGACTGACTCTGGGAAATGGGCCCTGAAGACCGGAAGGGTCAGCTGACGTCAGACTTAGGGTAGAGAAAGCTGACTGCAGTTCATAGAGGGCATTCTTCAGTTGACTGGGAACCGGCAGCAAAGTGAAAATCAATCAGCTTTCTAGAAAATACTGAAAAGAATCTTATTTTTTTTTCCCAGCTGGCCAGAACTCAACTACAATGCTAGTGGAAGTGCTTGGAGGTACAGACGCAAGGGAAAGCAAGTTCAAGATGCTTCCTATGGAGGGGGGAGACAGTACCATGCCAGGCCTCAAGTGAATTGAATCCTGCATGCAAAGGGCCTCCTGCAGGCAGCTGGGCCTGCTGAGTGAGCACCCTGCACCTGGCAGAGCCCTGGGCAAAGCACTACTCCCTAATTGCTTAACAACCTATGGCCAGTGACACATAGTAACAAATGCCTGTGACAAGTGGTGGGGCAGAGCTTCCCCTTCTTCCCTTCTCCATTTTTCTACTGCTCTAAAGCATAATTTCTCTTTCTTTTCTTTGCTTTTCTTTTCTGTTCTTTTTCTTTTTTGCCGGGAGCCAGACTGTCAGTACAGCCTGACCTGCAATTTAGGAACTAATCTCTTCTTGGAAAAATGTTAAAATACATTGTGTAAATTTCTGAGCTGCGCCTGGGATAACTGCCATGAGCCCGCCTTTAGGGCTCACACCCTGATTCACTGAAAATCTGCATGCTTTGTTAATTCCCCATTTTGCCCACTTCCTCATGTAATCAATTATATAAGGTTAGCTTGGGAGAAATAAATTTGGAGCTTGATCAGAGTCTTGTCTTGCTCCCATTCTTCTGTCTCTCTTTTTTCCCACTCGCGCACCCTCTCCCGGTTATCCACATTGACTAGTCCTGCGGATTGGGGCACTTTCCTTCCTTCCTTCCTTCCTTTCTTCCTTCCTTCCTTCCTTTCTTTTGTTAGGTCCCTAGGGACCCTGAGGGAGATTCCAGAGTTAAAACTCTATAAATTAGTAACTCTCCCTTTCCTGCCCTCCTTATCTGTTACCTCCCTTAAGAACTCTTCCCTTATCCACCTCCGGAATGCAGGGCTGAGAATCAGAGGAAGCAAGGTGATAACCAAATGTCCAAGTTACCTGATGCCCACTAGTCACAATGCCTATGTACGTAAATGCTGATCTTTGAATCTATAGGCTAAGGAGTGATGTACTTCTACACGGATTGGTTAAGAAAGCATATGTTGTTACAAATCTATTGGCTATGAAATGCGCGGGCTTTGCTGTAACGGCCAGTGAAGGCCTATATAAGATCCCCTTTGAAGAAGTTCGGGGTCTTGCCTCACCTAACTGACCTGCGTGTCTGTGTAGGCGGCTTGACCCTGGCTAGCCAGTCTTACAATAAACCTTGCTTGCTGTTTGCAGTCTCTGGAGTCTCTTTGTCGTTAAAGGGAGATCACGATCTGCGCCCTAACACTTTCTCTTTCTCTTTTCTTTCTCTTTTTTCTTCTTTCTTTTCTTCTTTCTCTTCCCTCTCCTCTCCTCCCCTCCCCTCCCCTCCCCTCTCCTCTCCTCTCCCTCCTTCCTTCCCACACCTGGCTGTGTTCAGAGGTCATCTAGGGTTTGGATTAGTGCTTAAGGGTCATTCCACGAGTCACAGGCCATCTCCCCTTTAAGCCCCCAGCAATTGAGGGCTGTAGACCATCCTAGGCTAAGGAGACAGGATGGGGGAGGGGGGTTTCTGGTTGGAACTTCAAAGGCTAGGAAACTCATTTGCAGGGAGGAGGGAAGCATTTGCCACACCAAGTAGAGGCACCCTCCTAAAACCTCTGACACTGAAGGGAGAGTTGGGGGTGGGGTGGGGGAAACCAATATCCTGAATTCTTAAGGATTTAATTAGTCAAAATAACCCACACACCAACGTGGCCTATTTTAGGATCCAGAGAGATAGTTCAGGGATTGAGGCACTTGCCTTGGGTGACCAACCCAACCTGGTATGAACCCCTGTACTGCATAGGGTCCCCCAGGCACCACCAGGAAGGGACCCCCTAAGCACAGAGCCAGAAGTTAGCTCTGAGCATCTTCAGGTGTGGCCCCCAAATCACATTGGCATATTCAGGGTCCTGCATTCTTCTCCACCTCAGAGTAAAAGTTCTTAGACCAGACCCAAAGCAGGAAACCGAGCCCCAACCTGTTAACAACCACCCTCCTCCCTGGGAGCTGGGGAAGATAGAGGAGGGCATTTGGTGGTTTGCCCATTTGGTAAAGCTTGCTTTGAGGGTATCTCTGCTAATCATTAACCTCTGAGCTACACCCGGAGGAGGAGGAGGTGCTGTGCCTCCAGGAAGGGCCCTGCTGAGGTCTCCTTCCTTTCCTCATTCACTTCCCAGTCGCAGGATTCAGGCGGGGGAGGGGAGGGGGGCGTTACAAGAATCCTGTCTCTAACTTTATCTCCCTAACCATTTTTAAATGTAAATTGAAAGAGAATGACTTGGAGCCCTTTCAAGGACCACGCCTTTGAATTGCTGGGGGAATTAGAGCTGGAAGTGTCAGATTTCTATTGAGTAGTGTAGATTCAGGAGGGAGGGGGGCCCATTGAATCAGCTGCTGAGTCACAGTGGCTGCTCTTGGTCCTAAGCCGCGGGAAACCACTGGTTCTGTAGGCAAAACTAATCTAGTGCTTCACTGAAGCACTTTACAATGTCCTTGTTACCTCCCCGCACCCACCCTTCTTGCCAGAAAAGTAATCTCAAACAGGTATGGATTCTGTGCTTTTCAGGGGAAAACAAAAACCATGCACTCACCTGTACCCAATGCCTTGGAAAACGAAGCAGTAATCTGGGAAATAAAAATGCTCTGAGCAAAAGAAAAAAAATTTAAATGCTTTGATCTGGGCAGGAGAGATGGTACAGTGAGGTCGCTGGCCTTGCATGCAATAGACCTACGTTGTTTCCCGGCTCCCCATATGGTCCCCTGAGCATCATCAGGATTAATTCCTGAGTGCAGAGCCAGGAGGAACCCCTAAGACTGAGTGCTACCCCAAAACAAACAAAATGTTCAACCTAAGGAAGAAACGCGGTAGTTGAGGTTGACTAAAAGAAATGATAGAGGGGCTGGAGCAATAGCACAGAGGGTAGGGCATTTGCCTTGCACGCGGCGGACCAGGGTTCGATTCCCAGCATCCATATGGTCCCCTGAGCACCGCCAGGAGTGATTCCTGAGTGCAGAGCCAGGGGTAATCCCTATGCATCGCCTACCCAAAAAAGAAAAAAAAAAAAGAATAGAGCCGGCTATACATACGACTCTATGCAAGGCAATTTGAAAAATGTCGTGGCATTATTTTAGCCCCCAGACTTACAGAGAGTAGGAAGGCAGAGAAAATACTTTGTATTAACCACGCTAGGAAAGGAAGCAATGGCCTCAGTCCTCCTGAGGGGCACTTGGAGGAGTCGGGAAGTGCATTTTTAAAACCAGCCCTTTCTCAGCTCAGATAGAGAAAGGAGCACCAAGTTAAGGGTGTTGGGAGGATCCTCCCAGGATGGGAGATGCATACTGAAAGTAGACTATAGACTGAACATGATTGCCACTCAATGCCTCTTTCGCAAACCACAGCACCCAAAAGGAGAGAGAGAACAAAAGGGAATGCCCTGCCACAGAGGCAGGGTGGGATGGAGGGGTGGGGGGTGGGATACTGGGCTCACTGATGGAGAATGGGCACTGGTGGAGGGATGGGTACTCGATATTGTATAACTGAAACCCAAGCACAAAAACTTGTAAGTCCACAACTGTACCTCATGGTGTTTCACTAATTTAAAAATTAAAAAAAAGCCCCTTCTTCACCAGTCACCCACCCCTTTGGTTTGGGGCTGTTTTTTTTTTTCCCTTCTGCTAGAGGATCACGGACTAGTGTTGAACTTTGGTAGCCCCTATGCCCGGGGTCTGCAAAAATGCCAGCCCCAGATTACTCCAAAAGCCTTTCCGTGGAACCCTGGCCATGTAATTGCTGCCATCCCGAGCGGGGAGGAGGACCTGATCTCCTTTCATGCCAAAGGACCAGGAGCTAAAATGCACGGGCACGCGGAGAGCGCGTGGGCCAGGAGCGCCCCGGCAAGCCCGGTTCACAATTTCATCAGGGAATTTCGGTCCCCTGGGCCTGCCTGCAGGTCAGGGCTGATGATGCACAAGGACGAAGGGCCGGGGTCACCTTGGCGGCCCCAGGACGCAGTGCGCAGGCGCGGGGGGGGGGGGCGCTCTCGCGGCCCCCACCACGCGGCCCCGCCTGGGAGGGTCCGGGTGCGCGACCCCCATCGCGGTGGGGCCGAGGAGGCCGCCCGCAGCTCGCGGCGCGGGGGGCGCGCCGCCGGGCCGGACCGCGAAGGTCGTCGGAAGGTCGCGGGGCCGGACGGGCAGCGCGGGAGCGACGCCGAGTGCGTGCAGGACTCGGAGGACGTGACGGAGCCCCGCGCGCTCATGTCGGCCGCGCCACCGCGCCCTCCCCTGGGCGCCAGAGCCGAGCACTGGGCTCAACGCGGGGTCCAGGCGCTGGGGCAGGGGGCGCTCTCCATAGTCCGAGGCCTCGACGGCGGGGGCAACCCGACCCCTGCCCCGTAGCACCCCGCCTCCTGCCTCCTCCGGCCGTCGACCCCCGCCCCTCGCCGCCGCCCGGAAGACCGCGGCCCCGCCCCTCTTCCGAGGAGTGACGGCGCGCCGGGCCAATGAAGGCGCGCGGGGGCGGGGCTCGAGGGCGGGTTCTGGGCGGGAAATGGGCGGGTCTTTCCCGGGCTGGGCCGGAAGTGGGGTGAGGCGACGCGGAGGCGAGCCCCGGCGACGACGAGTCCTCAGATCGCCCCGCTAGTCGCTCGCGTCGCTGGCAGCATCCTCAAGCTTCTCTCCCGGGTGCCCCGTGCCGACGGCCAGGTCAGGGGCTCGGGGAGGGCTGGCGGGCCCGGGCTGCGGGCGCGGGTCGGCGAGCGCTGCGCGGCGACAGAGCCGCGTTTCTGAAGGGGGTCGGGGGGTCGTTGGGGGATCGCGGGGCGGGGGTGGGCCCGCCGATGGGGGTGGGAAACGGCCGGTGCCACCCCGTGCCCGGGATGGCCAGACCCGTTCCAAAATGGAGTCGGGGCCGCTGGAAGGGGCGAGGCCGGCAGCCGCCGCCCCCTCCCCCGCTGGCGGGCCCCGCGCGGGCGGCCCGGCGGGTGACTGAGGAGCAGTTTCCTCAGGGGCCGCCCTACGGGGACCGCGCCCCGATGGGGCAACAGCGGCCCGGCTCGGCGTGTGGAGAAAGTTCCCCCGCCCGTGCCCCTCAGCGCCCCTGAGCGAAGGTTCCTGGCCGTCAGATGCCTTAGGCGGGTGTGATTGTCACCATTACTTTTTTTTTAATGAAATCAGTTAAGTACCTATGATGCCACAAATGAAGCTAGAGGAGTCGAGGTATTCGAAATCACCTGCGATCTGGACTTGAGCGGTGGCTTGGGCAGGGGGACCGGAGACTGGAAATGGACTGAGGAGAATTGGGGGTGATGGGGGTGTTACCGCGGGTTCCAGCGTTTGCGGAAACAAAGTTGAGAGTGTGTTTGTGTATTTGTGTGTGTGTGTGTGTGCGCGCGCGCGCTCGCGCCTTTGCACTACCACTGAGCCAGAGCCCTGGCCCCCCAACCAGAAAAAAAAGTTGAGAATTTCTGTGTGTGTGTGTGCGTGCATGTGCGTGCGTGTGCGCGTGCCTTTGTGCCTTTGCTCCATCACTGAACCACAGCCCTGGCCCCCTAACCAAAAAAAAAAAAATTTTTTTTAAATGAGAAATATTTAAATACATTTTCTCTTTTGCCAAGATAGTAGAGAGCGGCTGGAGACCTTTCGGTTAGATAATGAATGAAACTCCATTATTGCCAGGACATCCGAGCTACAGAAATGATTTCAGGATCTAATTCTGAAGCTTGGAAAAAAAAAAAAAAGAAATGGTGCCACTTGCTGCCTCAGAACATTCCAGAGGAGATATTGGAGAGGAGCCCAGCCAGCTCAGGGCTCCTGAACACTAATTCTGCCCCCTCTTATCCACTCAGTTGTTTTACTGAAGGGTTGGGGGAGGGGGCCGGGGTTAGTTGGGGGGGGTTGCTTTGAGGGCTTGCTACTTGCTCTTTGCCAATCTTTTTTTTTTTTTTTTAATTTATTTTCCCCCTCACTCACTCACTCTGCAGATCTTTTAAGTGTTTTCTCTGGAAGCCTCTTTCCTTGGAAAGTGGAATCTTTTCTGTAGTTACAAATTACAGTTTATAATTTTTTTTTAAATTATGGGCCAGAGACATAGTACAACAGGCAAGGCATATGGCTGCTCTGAATTAGACTCATTGCACCACATACGGTCCCTTGAGCCCCACCAGTAATGATCCCTAAATGCAGAGCTAGGAGTAAGCCCTGACCTCCGCTGGGTGTGGCTCCTAAAAAAATTCTTGAAAATTTTTTATTATTGTAAAAGTAGTATTCTTGTATGGTATGTAGGATGTTGAGGATCAAAAGCAGGGCCTGACACGTATAAGGCGAGTGTTCTGCTGTTCTACTTCTAACAAGGTCCCTATCCCCATAATTCATTTCTAAATTTATTTATAAATACTATTTAGATGTCATGGTGTGTCATCGTATCTTGCCACCACCCTGAGTGCTGTGGTATTGGAACGCCCCAAGGCTGACAGTGGTGAAGATGTTGGAGCCCTCTCTTGTCCTCCAAGGGCAATGTTCTGATTCTTCTCCATCCACTAGTTGAACATCTGCATCCTCATTAACTTGATGACTTACTCCCAGCCTTCCCAATCACTGGCCCACTGCACATAAAGTTTTCTTCCTGGAACCTCTATGCTGCCCGTTTTGAGGCGGTTTTACTTGTGACCTTCATGTCCCCTTGCACCATCTCCATTTGGTGCCAGTTGTTAAGGTTCAGTCGTGGCCGAGAATGCTTGGAGACTGCCACCCTTCCGCGCCTTCCCTTCATATCCTCCTTCCTGTTCAATCTCAGTTCTTCTTGCTGCCCCCATGTTCAGGTTTTCCTCCCTGCTAGGGCTTGAGGCCTTGCAGGCAGGACTCAACCCAGTTTTTAGGAACAGTTCCCAGGGTGTTCCCCTTCAACCAGTTTCTGGCACCCCCTGTTTTGTCCCAGTCGCAGGTTACTCAGATTGCGGCCCGGAGTGGCAGAACCAGGGTGGCATCATTTCACGAAAAATGCTTTTCCCACAGACCAGCACCATGTCTATTCTCAAGATCCACGCCAGGGAGATCTTTGATTCTCGTGGGAACCCCACGGTGGAGGTCGATCTCTGCACTGCAAAAGGTGGGTGCCCTCCTGTGTCTCAGCTAAGGATCAGCCTGGTAGTGGGGCCCTTCGTTGCCCCTGCCCCTGCTGGTCGCTGTGGGTGTTGGGGCGGGACAGCCCGAGGCCTGGGCTGGCTGCTCTGTGTGTTTGAAAGAGCACGGGGAGGGCTCTGGGTCAGCAGGTCAGTGTGGTGATGCCATGTGGCCTCAGCCGCTGCCCTGACACTTGAGCAAGCAGAGAGAGTGTGATAAGATGGCACCACCTCTCCGGGAACAAGGAGGGCAGGGGAGAGCCCTTAGCCTGGGCTCGGAGACAGTCTTCACTGCCTCCTGGGGTAGTCAGGAGACTTGGGTTATTTTCTGACTAACTCCCTCCTAGGAGTTAGCCCATGTGGAACAAGAATAGACGGACTTACCAAAGACCCTCGTTTTAAGGAAGTCTGGTGCCAGAGGGCTGGAACTATAGCACAATGGGTGGGGCACTTACCTTGCATGTCACCAACACCAGTTTGATCCTCTGTACTTCATAGAGTCCCTAAGCCCACATCCACAGGAGTGATTCCTGAGAGCAGAGCCAGGACTAAGCCATTAGCACAAGCAGATGTGTCCAGAAACCCCCACGCCTATCCCCCTACCCCCCCCAAAAAAAGAAGAAAAATCCAGTGTCAAACTGAAGGGGGGGGGGTGCTGGAGTGCCTGTTCTGTTCCCAGCACAAACTGGAAGAAGGAAATCCAGTGCCTGCTGGGTCTGACTAGCCTCCAGCTATGCTCTGTCTCTGCTCCCTCTGCCCCTTCGCAGTGGCCTAGTGGCCAGGTGGGCGAGGTTCAGAGTTTGAGCCTGAGCATGCAGGGGAGCTGAGTCAGGCTGAATCACTGGCCTGGCAGTCCGCCCCCAGCCCTGCCCTTCTTTACCCCTCCCCAGGGAAAGGAGGCTCCTGAGTGTCATTCACCAGACCAAAATTGGGACAGAGTGGCCCTGGGGGCTGGGGGAGTGCTGTGGCCACACTGCAGGCTGCTCCTATCATGCACTGCTGTCTCTGCTATGGCCCTTGGCCTTGCCACTGGGAATTAGTGAATTCCCAAAAGACCAGTCCCGAGACACTGTTCATTGTAGGGGAGGGGACTTTTTTTTTTTTTTTTTTGAGACACTTCAAAATGGTTAAAAGTACGGGATGGAGCCTTGCGTATGGCCGACCGGGTTTTTGTCCCTGGCATCCGCTATAATCCCCCGAGCCTAACAGGAAGTGATCCCTGACCAGAGAGCCAGGATTAAACCTTGCACAATCAGGTGTGACCCCAAAAATAAAAAAAAAAAAAGATTAAAAATATTTTACAAAGTTTAGCTTTCTCCCCCAGGCCTCGGTTCTTGTTTAAAATAAAAAACATGAAGAGGGCCCAAAGCAGTAGTACAGTGGGTAGTGTGGGTAGTGGTAGTAGCAGTGGGTAGTGTGCTTGCTTGGCATGCAGCACGCCTGGTTCGGTTCAATTCCTGACACCACATATGGTCCCCCAAGCCCTGCCAGGAGTGATCCCTGAGCTCAGAGCTAAGAGGAAGCCCTGAGTGCACCCAGGTGTAGACAAAAGAAAATCACGCACAAAAAAGCATGAGGGGCTGGAGAGGCACTGTAGTGCATAAGGCGCTTGCTTTACATGCCCAGCAGCACGCCTGGTCCCTTGAGCACCACAAGGGTTGGTCCAAACACTCCCCTAAAGAAATGGAAAGGGAGGGCTAGATTGATAGTACAGCAGGTACAGTGCCTTTCCTTGCACACAGCCAACCCAGATTCAATCCCCAGCACCCCATATAGCCCCCTGAGCTGCTGTGCCCTCAAAACCGAAAAAAAAAGAATACAGGCTGAAGAGCTGATGACGTCTGCATTCTTCCCTGGAATTGCAGTTCCAGGTGCTGCAGCCTGCCCTGTTGTCACCCAGAGCCACCCTCCCTGGTTACACTCGGTGCCCAAAGTCCAGGGTCTGCATTAGCGTCAGCACCACCTGGGTCAGGCCTGCGTCAGGAGGACCTATGTCCTCAGCACCTGTCTCACCCATCATTAACCACAATAAAAGTCATTGTCTTCATAAAGGAAGAGGTGTGGGCCCCGAGAGATAGTGCAGTACAGAAGTCTCTTGCTTCCAGTGCTGTTGGCACTGAGGGCTCACTCCCGAGGTCCCCTGGATGTGGCCCACGAATAAGCTGCTGCTCCAGTCACCTCCTTATCACAAGCCTACTGACAGGCTCTGTCTCAGGGGTGGCCGAACATCCTGTACTCCCTCGCCTCCCTGACTTTGCCTGTCCTTGCTTCACTGCCTTGGAGTCCCAGGTTGCAGCCAGTGGCAAGTGTTTGCACTGTATAGACACTTGCCACCACTGGGTCAGTGTCCCATCAGGTTCCTTCCGAATCCTGTTTCTTCTTATCCTCAGAAGTTGCCATCTGAGCACCATGACAGCCCTTGCCAGAACTCATTTTTACTGACTTCCTGTTGAAATGATAGAGCTTTGCCTATTGTTATGTTCAATAAGATGCTGAACTTCTTCCCTGGACTGAGGAAACTGTGAGATCAGTCTCAGGCACCACCTGGCCCCTAGCAGCATCCAGTGTGGCCCCTGGAGTAACAGTTCATCCCCCCTTTCCTTGGGTGGGAGGTGTTTTGCGGCCCACTCCTAGTCTGTTGAGCTCAGCTGTACAGGCCTTGAGGTTCCATGTTTGGGACTGGTGGTACTATGGTCACTAGGACCATATGCTGCAGTGCTTAGGGAATCAGTGCTAAGGATCACATTTGGGTCTTTTTATCAGCGTAGATGCCAGAGAGACTCCTAGTGTCCCTGTGGGGCAGCTCTGCCAGGGGGGTGGCCCACAGGGCCCAGCAGGGAGCTTGTTGGAGACTGTGATTTAATGAGGCCCCTAGGCGCTGCCCATGCATGTGACAGTGTAAAAAGCAGCCGCTTCAGCCGTCCACCCCACAGCGATTCTCACCACAGTGAAGGCCATCACTGTAGAGCTTGCTTGGGGGGCGGGGGGAGGGTGGGGCCCTGTGCCTCAGCTGCCGGTGCTCAGTGCAGCTTCTGACTTGTTCGAGACCTTGTGTCTCAGAGAATTATCACTTGGCACGTAGAGTCCCAGGAAGATGAGTGGCAGGACAAAGACCATGGGACCCCAGTTGGGAGGAAGAAACTCTGCTGAAGGCCTGTGTTAATACCATTTCTTCTGCCCACCCCCTGTGTGCAGGTCTTTTCAGAGCTGCTGTGCCCAGTGGGGCCTCAACTGGCATCTATGAGGCCCTGGAGCTGCGGGACAATGACAAGACACGCTACTTGGGAAAAGGTACGAGGCGGGCTGAGCGTCTCTTCCTGCTGCACCCCATCTGCCTGGCCTGACCCCACTGGTACCGTTTGGGAGTGCCCTGATTTGGGCCAGGGTGCTGCCAGAGAGTGCACTGTCATGCTTGGTAGAGCCAGGTATTGGCTCAGGGTTCACGGCTAGAGCTCGAATGTTCCTCTGGGAAGAGCTGGCGAGGCTGGGCCTCAGGTTAACCAGCGCCAAAGGCAAAACTGGCCATGTCCTCCCCCAGCTGAGGGGGAGCTGTTGGGGGTCGGGTCAGTGATCTGTGGTGGACTCGGTGCTCGCCTCATTTGCCCCGGTGGCAGGTCCCCACTTTCCAACATCGCCGTGGTCAGTGGCCTCCAGAAGGTCCCTGTTTTCCCTCTTCTGTGCTGCTTGTGGTGGGGGGAGGGAGGCCACTCTGAGGAAAGGTCTCAGGGCAGCAGTAAGGGGACTTGTGGGGTACTGAGCCAGTCATAGAGGCTGTGCCAGGGGGCCAGTGCAGGTCTGTAGCAGCGTTTCTGCCTGTTTCCTCTCCCTGCGCCTCCCTCTGGCCTGTCCTCCTCTGAGTCTGTCTTTCTCCTTCTCTGTCAATCTCTGTGGTCAGGCGTCTCCAGACCTGTTAAGTATATTAATGAGTTCCTGGCTCCAGCCCTGTGCACGCAGGTAACGCACGCCTGGGCTGCCTGCAGCTGGACCTGCCAGTGCATGGGCTTGACTAACCTCCCTCACAGCTAAGGCCGTTGCTCTGTGTGGCTCTAACCCGGGGCTCCGGGCTCCGAACACTCAGACTGGGCCAGAAAGTTCGCCGGTGGGCTGGGGTGGGGTGAGTGAGGTGGGGGAAGACGGGGTCCTGAGCCCACCACTGAGTGGGGGGCCCCAGTCGGGCTGCTGCAACCGGCGCTCGTCCAGGTCAGTAATGTGCCCGATTTCCTTCTAGGTGTCTCACAGGCGGTCGAGCACATCAATAAAACTATTGCGCCTGCCCTGATTAGCAAGGTAGGACCTCAAGAGCCTGGGTCTGTCTGGGCCTGAGAGCCAGGGTGCCTAACCCTGCCCGTGTGCCCACATCTAACTGCATGTGGACTAGGTGTAGTCTCGGGAGAGACGGAAGGGGGCCAGGCTCTGCCCTCATCTCCCCGGGCCATCAGGGTCCCCACTGGAGAGGGACTCAGGGGTCTGATGTGGTCTCTGTGGTGACTGGCTCATTCTTCATCAAATTGTCTATTGAAATTTGGGGATTTTGTCTATTTGGGGGCTACACCTGGTGGCTTGGGGGATTACCCCTGGCTCTATACTCAAGAATCACTCCTGGCAGTGCTCAGGGGACCATATGGGATGGCGGAGATTGAACCCGTGTTGGCTGCCTTGCAAGGCAAGCGCCCTGCCAGCTATCCTGTCTCTCCAGCACCTTCTACTGAGTCCTTTGAGGATTTCTCTTTTGGTGCTGGTGGGGAGGGGGCCCAGTTATGGCCAGTGGTTTGGATGGCTGTTTCTAGCTTTCCCCCCCCCCCCCCTTAAATTTTTGGGCCACACTTGGCAGTGCATGCTCAGGTTACTCCTGGTGATGCTCAGAGGACCATGTGGGATGCTGGGGTTTGAATCCGGGTTGACCATGTGCAGGGCAAAAGCCCTCCCCACTGTGCTATTGCTCTGGCCCTGTTTCTAGCTCTGTGCTCCCAATTGCCCCCAAGTAGTGCTGCCTTGGATGGCACTGGGGCATAGGATGGCAGGTGTCCTGACCCTGTGCTCTCTCTGCCCAAACACAAACGTCTTATCTCTGAGCCACAGTTTGTCATACAGATAAGAGTTGGGGAGGCACGCACAATCTGGAACCTCTGGGAAGCTTAAGGTCCACCTTTACTCAGCCGCCTCCTATCTACCTTAGCGTTCATTCCATTCTTGCTGCCACCCTTATCCTTGTCACGTGCCTCTTTGGGCGGGATCTAATTGGTCCCTCTGGGCCCACGTTCTCGTTTTCATGGTGAGCTGAACTTGCTATGTTCTTTGTTTCCGGGGAGCACCGCTCCACCAAACACTCAGCGACAGCTTTTCTCAGAGACCACAGACCGATTTGTTAACATGGGGCCGTGGAGTGCTGGACAGGGTTTGCCTCCTGTCTTCCCATCTGTGGCAAGAATCTCGGGTACAGAAGAAGTTTCCGTTGTAATTCAGTTACGAAAATTACGATGAGGGCTGAGCTAGTTCTGCAGCAGGGGTACAGACTTTGCATGCTGGAGCCTTGGTTGGGTTTGATCCACGGCACCGCATGGTCCCCCAAGCACTGCCAGATGTGTCCCCCAAAACAGTAATAAAATAAAATTTTTTGGAGCCAGTTTTCCAGACACCCATTTTATTTGTGATTCCGCCCGGAGTTACTGCTTGCTGTTGGCTTGTCATGAGCAGTTTTGAGCATCCTCCCTTACCTTGAGAACTTCGAGGGGTTGAGCACTGAACCCCAATGCTTAACCCTGGGCCTCTCCACTGTGGGACCCCTCGGTCTCAGAGGAAGACTTCCCCCCGACAGAAAGGGAAGGTGGTTTGGGCCTCCCCGTTTCCTTTGGTTTGCAGAATGAGTCTAAGCACAGGGGACTAGACACTGCAGTGTTTGTGTTCTTTGGTGGGGTCAGAGGTCATGGAGTGACCCTGCTCCCTCATGCAGTATGTCCTCCTCCCTTGTAGAAGTTGAATGTCGTGGAGCAGGAGAAGATTGACAAGCTGATGATCGAGATGGATGGGACAGAAAACAAATGTGAGTGGCCTGGGAAGGGCTCCAGGAGGTCTTTGAGGTCATTTGGGGAGGCCTCTGATCCCTGACACTGAGCTGTAAGGATTACCCGCTCCTGGGACCAGAGCGACTGTACACCTGCATGCAGGGTTCAGTCCCTGATCACTGCCAGCGGTGGCCCCAAAACCAAAAACAGAAAAAAGAAAAAGTCAAGTTTCTTGCTTACCGTCCAGCATGTGAACAGCAGCCAGGCTACAGCATTCCGTAGGGTCATTAGACAGCTGGTGTTCGATGAAGTGTTTTGGAGTTGCACAGCCAAATGACAGCGCCCCCTCTGTGGTGCAGAGACCAGAGGGGGTGGCATGCTAATGTTTGCGTTTCTCTCTTGCCTGAGAAAAGGTCCAGGGGTGAGAGGAGGCAGCTCAGTGCACGCTCCCAGAAGTTGGGTGCTTCCGGGTGGATGGTGGCGCGAGCACATGCCTTCTCTGATCGTGTGTCTTGTTTTAGCTAAGTTTGGGGCGAATGCCATTCTGGGAGTGTCCCTGGCCGTCTGCAAGGCTGGAGCTGTTGAAAAGGGGGTGCCCCTCTACCGCCACATCGCCGACCTGGCTGGCAATCCTGAGGTCATCCTGCCTGTGCCAGTAAGTGGCTCCTCTCAAGCTCCCCACACAGTTCTGGGGTATGCACTTCCTTTGGAACGAGACCATCCCAGTCTGTCTCTCATCTGGACCTGAAAGTTAGGAGTCAGCTTGGGGGTTCCTGCTGACCTCAACTGCCACTTGCTGAGTGGCCAGAGTTCCCTGTACCTTGTGTCCTGTGGGAGGGATATGGGAGGGTGTATGCCTGAGAGACACGGTTGGGTTGTGGCTGGAGCTGAGGGCCGCCTGCAATGGCAGTGACAGTGAGCCCGGATAGGAGGGGCCCTGCAGGACTTGGCACACCCCTGTAACTCCCGGATGGAGGGACCTGCCTCTTGGGGCTCCTCTGAACCAGATGCCCCACTGCTCTCTCTCCGTGCCAGGCTTTCAATGTCATCAACGGCGGCTCCCATGCTGGCAACAAGCTGGCCATGCAGGAGTTCATGATCCTCCCCGTGGGGGCCTCCAACTTCAGGGAGGCCATGCGCATTGGTGCCGAGGTGTACCACAATCTGAAGAATGTTATCAAGGCCAAGTACGGCAAGGACGCCACCAATGTGGGCGACGAAGGCGGGTTCGCACCCAACATCCTGGAAAATAAGGAAGGTAAAGGCTTGGGGGCGCTGGACTCTTCTCCCCAGTATCCACTGAGCCCTGAGGAACAAGCGGGTGATGCAGCCAGGGAGCGCGGCTCCCACCGGGCTATACCCTGAGCCCTCAGGCACAGCACCCGTGAGGATGGGCAGCAAGGAGCTGGGCCCCGGGGAGTGTGCAGGCATCCTTGCCCAGTGGTGGAGAGAGGCTGAGCGGGAGCTGGGTGACTCCCAGACGGGCCGCAGTCTGGGCGCCCTCTGGTCAGGCCTGCGTTCCCGTGAGTCCCAGGGGTCACAGGGGCTCACCTACCTGCACCACTGTTTGGAGTGCTGGCTGGGTGGAGCAGGGCAGTGAGAAATCCCCTGGCAATCTGCACTCCCCGTGTGGTGCTCGGGCTCTGACTCCACCCTCCTGCCTGGGCCCAGCCCTGGAGCTGCTGAAGGAGGCCATCGGGAAAGCCGGCTACACCGACCAGGTGGTCATCGGCATGGACGTCGCTGCCTCCGAGTTCTTCCGCAGTGGAAAGTACGACCTGGACTTCAAGTCCCCCGATGACCCCAGCCGCTACATCAGCCCCAGCCAGCTGGGCGACCTGTACAAGTCCTTCATCCAGCAGTACCCAGGTGAGTGCTCGGCTGTGTTGCCTACTGACCAAGTAAAAGAATGCTTGATTTTTCATCCCCCCTTTGTCCTGCTCAAAGCTGGGCAGCTTCCCAGTACAGGGGGTTTCAGTTTGGGGGACAAAGCTGGGCAACTTCCCAGTACAGGAGGTTTCAGTTTGGGAAAAATGCACCCTCGTAAATGATTTGTAAATGATGTACGAGGAACAGCACAGTCTCTATGGATATGTCAAAACTGTAACAAAGCAGGCCGCTCCGACCGGTAGCATTAGGTCGAAAGGGTCACCAGGTGGCTGACCAACGGTGCATGGCTCTGCCCACTGTGACTGACCAACGGTGCATGGCTCTATTCATTGTCCCATCCACTTTCCCACGTCCCATCCCCTTTCCTTTCTTTTGGGTGGGTTGTGGAAACATACTTAAGTCTGTACCTGTGCTCTGAATAAACACACGCATTCATGCCATCTCCTGAATGACGGAACCCTGTGTGACTCGAGTGCTGATTTTCACCCTGACGGCCCTCTCCTGGCTCGGCTCTGCAGCGCCGGACGCGGCAGGCTGTGGCAGGGAAGGGCCCCCTGGGAACTGGGCTGGTTTCCGGTGCCTCAGCTTTGAGTCACACCTGAGAGTGAGACCCTCCCAGAGTAGAGGGAACTGAGGCAGACAGGGTTTGCTTCTTGCTGGGCCCAGAGTGGGGCTGCAAGTGCTGCCGTGACCCAGAGTCCCGGGCCGCCCTCCAGGCCCTGACAACACTCGTTGCCTCTGCAGTGGTGTCTATTGAAGACCCCTTCGACCAGGATGACTGGGACGCTTGGAGCAACTTCACCGCCACCGCAGGCATCCAGGTGGTGGGGGATGACCTCACGGTGACCAACCCCAAGCGCATTGCCAAGGCTGTGCAGCAGAAGTCCTGCAACTGCCTGCTGCTGAAGGTCAACCAGATTGGCTCCGTCACCGAGTCCCTGCAGGCGTGAGTGTAGTGTTGCCCGCCCCGTCCCCGGGAGCTGGCCTGCCGTGCCGGAAGGGGACTCAGCCTCTGCTCCCGTCTGCTTCCAGGTGCAAGCTGGCCCAGTCCAACGGCTGGGGCGTCATGGTGTCCCATCGCTCGGGAGAGACGGAAGACACCTTCATCGCTGACCTGGTGGTGGGGCTCTGCACTGGGCAGGTACGGCGCCCTGGGCCTAGGCCTGGCTGCCCTCAGTCCTCCACTGCCTGAGCCCCTCTCTCACCCCACTCCTTGCTAGCACCCGAGACCCCTTTAGAGCTGGCCTCTCTGCTTCCCCCCACGGGCCAGGAAGACTTAATGTCCCCTGTAGATGACCGTGACCTTTCTCTCTTCCAGATCAAGACCGGCGCGCCCTGCCGCTCTGAGCGCTTGGCCAAGTACAACCAGCTCCTCAGGTGAGGCAGGGTCGGGGAGGCAGGTGGAAGGGGAGGTGACATCCCTGGGGCGGGCGCGTGTGGGAACCTTGCTGCTGTCTGATGAGCGCCCTGCTGCAGGGACGCAGCCGGACTCACCTCTGTCACACCTCTGGCCCCACTTAGGGGCTCCAGGGCGCAGCATGACTTGTCCTGCTCCCCTCCCCACACACCTTGTTGTTTTGGGGGTCCAGAACAACCAGCTCGGCTGGGAAACCAGGTGGTGGCAGGGATGGAACACTGGCATGGCCCGTGCTAAACCCACGCGCCTCTCCTGTAGGGGCCCTCGCGCTGTCCCCCCCTTTGTTATGCTTCACCCTGGGAGCTGTTTGGTAGTCAGGGTGCAGGTCTAACGTGTGCCTGCCTGGGGTGCCCAGCTCCCCCACACGCGGGACCCGAGGCATCGCCAGGCCCTACCAATGAACATTCAGCCTGGGAACCCCAGGCCTCCTGAGCACCATTTAAGAGCCACCCCCAAGCATTTGCCTTCTGTCCTGCTGTCCAGACACATCACTGGCGAGAACCCCCCCACTTTCTCTCACACCCTCCTAGTCTTCTCTGGAAAGTTTTAAAACAGATTCCGGCCATCTTAGATTTGCCCTGTGCATGTGTCACATGCTTTCCAGAGTGTCGGGCTTGACTCCCTCCTCAGTGCTGCTGCCTGTGGCAGGAGTCCAGGGCATTACCCCGCCTGCCCGTTGGCTCCACAGGCCTCCGCCCTCCAATGCCTCCTTACTCTCGCGCAGGCTCTAGAGGCTCCCTGCTTTTAGTGTTTACACTGTAGTGTGTGTCCTGGTGCCCTATATGGCATGTCCCTACTCCCGAAGCCATAGCCCCTGCCATGGGTTTTCCTTTTAAAAGTATTGGGTAGGGCTGGAGCCATATAGCACAGTGGGGAGGGCGCTCGCCTTGCACGCAGCCGACCCAGGTTCGATTCCCGACACCCCATATGGTCCCCCGAGCACCACCAGGAGTAAGTCCTGAGTGAAGAGCTGGGAGTAAGCCCTAAACACAACCATGTGGCCTCCAAACAAGAACAATAAAAATTGGGGAGTGGGCTAGAGAGATGATTTTGATGCTGAGAGCATGGCTCCCCAAGCACCACTGGGAGCAGCCCCTGAGCACTGGAGCTGGTGTGGCGGGGAGACAATTCAAACACCTGGTGTGCGTTCATTGCATGCAGTGGTCTGGGTTCCATCCCTGCACTGCCTGGTACCCGCCCCCCCAGAACATTGGAGAACACTGCTGGGCATGACCCCCAAACAAAAGGAAGCCATTTGGGGAGAAGAGAGATAGTCTAAGAGCCCCCAATCTAGAGCACTGAGCTAGGATAAGCACCTCAGTACCATCATATGTGACCCCGAAACTTAAGAAGGTAACCATAATTTTGATGTTTCAAGAAATAGCAATCCTGGGCCCTTGTTCTGCTTTGAACCTCATTGCGCCTCAGGCATGGGTGCGGGGACAGACCTCACTCCATTCCTCCCAGCTCAGAGGATCTTGTGGCCGGTGACTTCCCGGACAGCTGAGTCTCTGGTGGGGAAAATTCCCACCTCGAGACCTGACCCCTGCACTCCCCCTGCAGGATTGAAGAGGAACTGGGCAGCAAGGCCAAGTATGCCGGCCGGAAGTTCAGAAACCCCCTGAAATAGGCCCTCCAGGCAGCAGCCAGCCGCTGAGCCCCAGCCCCTGCCCCACTGGGGGCAGCCCGGGCCCAGCACTGCTTGCGGGTCTCTGGCACCTCCCGCCCGCCATATGCTCGCCGCTTCCGTAGAACCACGGCCGGCCCAGCTGTGATCACGTGCTGCACCGTCATTGTCGTCGTGTCGTTGCTGCTGCCCCACGTCTGGAGCTGTGTGTGTGTCCATAGTGTCATCTCAGAAGGGCCCAGGCAAGCTCCCCGTGATTTTGTGTGCAGAATAAATAATAAAACGAGCCCAGTGACCCGTAGGAAAACTGTTGCGTTTGTGCGTGGGTCTGACGTGAGCCTGCTGTCCTTCCCCTCGCTGTCCTTGAGACTCCACCTCAGACGCCCCTAGAAAAAGTACGAATAGAGGACTCTGTGTCACTCAATGCCATCTGCCCCCAGGACAGCTGGAGGCTGTGGGGCTGGAGTGACAGACAGTACAGCAGGGAGGGCATTTGCCTTACACATGACCACCTGGGTTCGATCCCCAGCGTGCTCTATGGTCCCCCAAGCACTGGCAGGAGTAATCCTGAGTGCAGAGCCAGGAGCGACCTATGAGCATCGCCTGACGTAACCCCCAAACATAATGGCCTCATTTATGATCCCCTGAGCACATCCAGCAGTGAGCACTGTGCCAGTAATATGTAGTCCTTGGCTCTGCCAGGCGTGACTGTCTCAGAGATCATTTGTGGGGGGAGGGCTGGCATGGAGTGCAGAGGTGAAGGTGTTGACCCGCCCCTTCGGAAGCTGCCTCTGCACGCTGGCACAGCAGCTCCCTATCCTGCTTCTGTCAGCTGAACAGGAGCACCTTTCCACGAGTAATGTCAGCATTTCCCAGTGCTTGGACTTGAAAACTGGCAGAGAGAGACATTTGTCACTCCAGGGTCAAAGGGCCGATGCAGGTGCTGGTGTTGGGCCTGGAAAGCTGTGAGCTGAACCCCAGCGTCAGGGCGGAGCCAGACCCAGACTCGGGATAGAGACTAGCCCTGCCCGCTGGCCCCGCACTGGATTTCACAAGACCTGGAAAGTGGCCCTTGACAGCACGGCTTCCTGGTCTCTGGGTTGCTGCGTGGTGTCTTGCCTTTTATCTTATCTTTTAAAAATTTAACTTCATGGGGCCAGAGCAATTAGTGAAATGGGTAAGGCATTTCCTTGCATACAATTGATCTGGTTCATTCCATGGCACTCCATATGATCTCCCAAGCACTGCCAGTAGTGATCCCTGGGCACTGCTAGGTATGGCCCCCAAACAAAAACAATTAAAATTTAACTTGATATTACAAATCCTTTTTACAAACTTTAAATTTCTTACTGTGGGTTCCAACTTCCGGTTTCCTGGAACTCTGACTTTAGAGCAGAAATCAGGAGCTGGGCCGGTAGTACAGCAGGGCACTTACCTTACACGTAGCTGACAAGAGTTTAATCCCCAACCCTACGTATGGCTCCCCGAGTCCCAGCAGGAGTAATCCCTGAGCAGACTGGTGTGACCCCAAACAACATTCAAGTAGGGCAGAAATCAGGCAGAAACGGGCGGCTTAGCTCTAACGCAGGAGCCCAGTTACACTCAGCTGGGGAAACTCCCCACGCTCCCACCCAGACCCCAGGATTGGCCTGGATTGGCCCATGGAAGCCGGTTCCTTAGCCCTGCAGTAGCCCTCCAGTCTCTTGGTGTGGTCTTTGCACTTTGTCCCTTTGTGGTTAGACGAGGGGACTACACAGATTGTGATGGTCACACACTTCCAAATGACTGCCACCTGTGGGTGACCACAGCACCACCCAGCCAACCCTGTTCCAGGACAGTGTGAGCTCAGCCTAACTCTGACGCCTGGGACAGGTGAGAGACTGAGAGAGAGGGCTCAGTGAGATGAGAGGGGGTGTGGTGTATGTGTGTGCGCGCGCGTGTGTGTGTGTGTGTGTGTGTGTGTGTGTGAGTGAGCTTGGCCTTACCCAGGAGACAGGCGCTCTACCTCAGGAGCTGTTTTTTGAGGCTCTTCTTTGGGGGTTCCAGGTAGTGGACCAGGGCTTCAGTCCCCGCAGACTCCGGACTGGGTGCATGGTGGAGCCTGACGCTTCAGGTTGAACGAAGGATTCATGGGGGGAGCGAACCCCGCTGGGCTGCAGTGCCAGGTGTCCCCCTGCAAATTCCGGGCCTGCAACCTTGCCCTGAGTGCCTCGGCATAGAGTGTGGGCCTGACCAGGGCCTGGGCCTGCTGCTGAGGTGCCCATGGGGCCTGGAGATGCAGCCACTTCCCGCCCCTCCCCCCACCCTTCGCATTGGGCACCTAATACCTCCTGTGGGGGCCAGTCACGGGAAAGCAGTGGCCAGAGCCCAGAGGGCCCAGACTACCCCATCTTTCAGTTGCACCTCAGTCTTCCCACCCATCCCTTGTGGCTGCTGCTACCTGCAATACAAACCACTCTACCCTGAGGAAAGGGAGAAGGGGCAGTGCAGTCCCCAGTTTCTGACCACACAAGAGGTGGGGGCATGCATGGCCACCCAGGGAGGAGAGTCGGGGCCACCGAATCCCTCTGCCGCTCACCAGCTTTACCGAGGCACCAATCACCCACAACAAGCATTCCTGGGGCTGGGGCAATAGCACAGCGGGTAGGACGTTTGCTTTGCACGCAGCCGACCAGGGTTCGATTCCCAGCATCCCATATGGTCTCCTGAGCACCGCTAAGAGTGATTCCTGATTGCAAAACCAGGATTAACCCCTAAGCATTGCCGTGTGTGACCGAAAACAAACAAACAAACAAACAAAAAGTCCCTAACACGTGCTTTCTTTTTTGTTTCTGTTTTTGTTTTGGGGTCACACCCAGTGGTGCCCAGGGGTTACTTGCTCTGCACGCAGAGATCACTACTGGCGGAACTTTAGGGGGGCATGTAGAGTACCGGAGGTCGAGCCCAGGTCAGCCATTTACAAGGCAAACAACCTCCCTGCTATACTAGGCTCCGGCCCCTAAAATGTGCTCTATTTGGTGTTTTTTCCACAAACCTGGGTAATTATCCTCACGTCTCTCGCAGATGGTTTCCGGCGCTTGAGAGTACCTGGTACCCCTTCTGCCAACCCTCACTTCTTCCAGGCAACCTATTGTGTTTTTTAATTTGTTTTGCTTTTGGTCACAACTGACAGTGCACAGGGCTTACTCCTGGCTCTGCACACAGGGATCACTTCTTTTGGGGGTTGGGAAACCATATGGGGTTCTGGGGATGGAACCTGAGTTGTCCATGTGCAAGACCAGTGCCCTGCCTGCTGTACTCTCTCCAGTTCCCTACTGTGGTTTGTCTTTTTTTTTCTTTGTTTTTTTTTTGTTTTGTTTTGTTTAGTTTTGGGTCACACCTGGCGATGCTCAGGGGTTTACTCCTGGCTCTGCACTCAGGAATTACTCCTGGCAGCACTCAGAGGACCATATGGCATGCTGGAGATCGAACCCAGGTGGGCTGCATATAAGCCAAGCGTCCTCCGTTCTGGATGGCTCTGGCCCTTCTTTATGCCTTAGCAAGGGCATTAAACTTTGAAGGACAAAGTTTCCGTGTTATGAAGTCCAGATTATCTGGGTGTTTTGTTTGTTTTTCGCCCTTTGCAGGGGTCACATTGTTGCAATGTCAGTGAGACCAAATAACCCTTGCCAAGATCACACTCAGCACAGGGGTGGTGCAGGATCAGATTCACGCCCTCACTCCCGCCTGGCTCCACCGCAGACCTTTGCTGGCGCCATTTGCACTCCTACTGCTTCTGCTTCTGCTGCTGTGTTTGCGACACTGTGGAAGAGTCACACCTGTTTCCTCAAGAGTTTAGGGGGTTTGGCTTTTGGCAGAGGATGTAGCTCAGTGGTAGAGCATGTACTTTGCACATGAGGCTCTAGGCTTTAACCCCAAAAGTATCTAGTCTCTTACAGTTGAGTTCATTTTCTCTGGGTGCTGAGTGAGGTTTCTTCATTTCTTAAAAAAGGCATTGTTGGGACTGGAATGATAGCGGGTAGGGCGCCTTGCACGCGACTGACCTGGTTCAATCCCCAGCATCCCATATGGTCCCCGAGCACCACCAGGAGTAATTTCTGAGTGCAGAGCCAGGAGTAACCTCTGAGCATCATCGGGTGCGACCCAAAAGAGCCAAAAAAAAGGAGGGGCATTATTGGGGCCAGAACGAAGTATAGCTGATAGGGCGCTTGCCTTGCATGTGGCCAAGCTGGATTTATTCACCAGCAACCCATATGTTCCCCGGAACCTTCCAGGAGTGATCTCTGAGTACAGAGCTGGGATAAGACCTGAGCACTGCTGGATGTGGCAATAAATAAATAAAAAGGTAAAGGTAAAGGCCCTCCCGTTGATCATCGATTTGCTCGAGCGGGCCCAGTAACGTCTCCATTGGAGACTTTGTTGTTACTGTGTCTGGCATATCGAATACGTCACGCGGAGCTTGCCAGGCTCTGCCGTGCGGGCGAGATACTCTCGGTAGCTTGCCGGGCTCTCCGAGAGGGGCAGAGGAATCGAACTCGGGTTGGCCATGTTGGCTGCGTGCAAGGCAAATGCCCTACTGCTGTGCTATCGCTCCATAAATAAACAAATTTTTGGGGGGTCACACCCGGTGATGCACAGGAGTTACTCCTAGTTCATGTACTCAGGAATTACTCCTGGCAGTGCTCAGGGGACCATATGGGACGCTGGGAATCGAACCCAGATTGGCCACGTGCAAGGCAAACGCCCTACCCATTGTGCTATTGCTCCAGCCCCTAAATAGATAAATTTAAAAGGCATTACTTTGGGGTTGGGGAGGTAGCACTGCAGGTGGAGCACTTGCTTTGCATGCAGCCTATCCGGGTTCAGTTCCCAGCAGGACATGTGGTCCACTGAGCACCTCTGGAAGAGTTGGGTGAGGCCCAAACCCCAAAAAGACATCATTTGTGTCTAAGCCCTAATCTTCAACAGAGCCACTGAAAACCATGGAAGGTGCCTAGAGGACCTGCCTGGCAGCAGAGGCCTGAGTTTAATTCCTGACACTGCATGGTTCTGCAGCACCATTAGGAGTAACCCTGGTGGACCACGAGGAGTAACCCTGAGCACTGTCAAGTGTGGCCCTAAATCTTTTTTTTTTTTTGGTTGGGGAAACCACACCAAGTGGTGCTCAGAGTTTACTCCTGGCTCCTGGCAATGCTCAAAGGACCATAGGGGATTCCAGGGATGAAACCTGGGTAGACCACGTACAAGACACATGCCCTACTTGCTATCCTATTGCTCTGGCCCTGACCCCAAAGCTTTTTAAATATT